CAGCAGCAGCAGCAGCAGCAGCAGCAGTACTCGCAACCGTACCACTTGTCTCCACCCAACCACTCCTCCTCTTCCAATCCGCGTGATGCTGCGCTCGCAGCAGCAGCGGCCGTCGCCGCCAGCATCGGTGTGAAGCGCGACCGCGATGGCGCGCCGCCACAATCTTCCTCCTACCCACCGCCTTCGTCTGTATCCGGACCTGACGCCGCCGACGGTGGCCCGCGCAAGCGCAAGTCGCGCTGGGGCGATGCGGCAGACAAGGTGACCATCCCTACGGCAATCGGCGCCAACGTGTCGGCGCAGGACCTCGACAAGTACGCGGTGCAGGTGCGTCTGGACGAGATTGCGCGCAAGCTGCGTTCGGGCGACTTTATCCCGCCGGACCGCGAGCGCTCGCCCTCGCCGCCGCCCACGTACGACGCGCAGGGCCGCCGCACCAACACGCGCGAGGTGCGCTACCGCAAGAAGCTCGAGGACGAACGCATGGCGCTCGTCGACCGTCAGCTCAAGCTCGACCCCAACTACCGAGCGCCCTCGGACTACCATGCGATCAAGCGCAACCAGCGCCCCACCGAGAAGGTCTACCTGCCCGTGCGCGAGTTTCCCGAGATCAAGTTCTTCGGTCTGCTCGTCGGCCCGCGCGGCAACACGCTCAAGACCATGGAGCGCGAGAGTGGCGCCAAGATCTCGATCCGCGGGCGGGGCTCCGTCAAGGACGGCAAGGGCAAGGGTGGTGACGAGGACGAGGAGGAGATGCACTGTGTCGTCACAGCCGACGACGAGGCGGCGGTGAAGAAGTGCATCAAGCTCATCAATCAGGTCATCGAGACCGCCGCCTCCACTCCGGAGGGCGAGAACGACCACAAGCGCAACCAGCTGCGCGAGCTCGCAGCGCTCAACGGTACGCTGCGCGACGACGAGAACCAGCTGTGCAAAAACTGCGGCAACAAGGGACACCGCGCATTCGAGTGTCCCGAACAGCGCAACTGGACTGCGCACATCATCTGCCACCGCTGTGGCGGGCAGGGGCATCTCGCCAGAGACTGCACGCAAGGCCGCGCACCGGGAGGGTTTGGAGCACCCAACGCGGCACCCGCGCCCGGCACAACGGGCAACCGACAATTCGACTCGGAGTACGCCAACCTCATGGCGGAGTTGGGCGAGCCTGCTGCGGGTGCGGGTGCGGTTGCGGTTGCGGGTGCGCCGGTGGGCAGTGCGGCTCCGGGCCAGGCGGTGGGAGCGGACGGCAAAAAGATCCCGCCGTGGCGCAATCCGGACGTGTGGCAGCAGCCTGGCTTTGGTATGCCGCGCGGCGATGGCGGTGGCCGCGGTGGTGGTGGCGGTGGATGGGGTCAGCGCGGTGGTTACGGCAACCGAGGCGAGCGTGGTGGATACAATCAGTACGGCGCTCAGTCGCACCAGGGATATGCTCAGCAGCAGCAGCAGCAGCAGCAGCAGCA